CCCCCCCTGCCTCTCCTTTTTCTTTCTTTCTTTCTTTCTTTCTTTCTTTCCCCTCTCTCTTTTTCTTTCCCTTCTCTCTCTTTCTTTCTCCCCCCCTCCTCCCACGACCTGGCCACCTGCAACCCTTATATAAGGAGACCTTACATAAGGTCTCCTGCTGGAGCGAGAAGAGGCTACGCGACCTCCAACCCCGATTCTGGGTTTAAACCCTGGGTCGTGTTCCCCCCCCCCCTTTTTGCGCAGTGGCCTAAAGGCGGCTGTTGGGAATGGATCCTCTCTGCACGCGCCCAAGGCAGGAGGAGGAGGTTCGGAATCCACGTTAAGCCTCTTTGCGGTGGAAAAATGCCCGTCGTCCGGATGCCCCAGGCAGGAAGGGAGGGGCTGTCCATACTTAAAAGGGGCCTGGGAGGTCTTCTATCCAACCCCCCTGCGCGAGCAGCAGGAGACCTGAGGTCTCCAAACTTGGCCACTTTTAAGAAACCCGGGAGTTGAAGTCCACCAGTGGCCAAGTTTGGGGAGCCCTGCCTGACCCCATTTCAGACCAATGGTTGTCCAGTCCCTTCTTGGAAACCTCCAGGGATGGAGCGCTCCCTATTTCGGGAAGGAATTCCGTCTTTTCGTAGTTCCAGGTGGCTTCTCTCCTTTGATTCGCTTCCATCCGTTTCTTGTTCAGCCTTCTGGCGCTTTGGAGAATTGCTTGAACCCCTGGCCTTTTGTGGCAGCCCCTCCGATATTGGAAGGCTGCTATCAAGTCACCCCTGGTCTTTCTTTTCACAAGGCCTTGACATACCCAATTCCCACAACCGCTCTTCGTGTCTCGGCTCCAGTCCCCTAAATCAGGGGTCCCCAACTACCGGGCCCCGGACCGGTACCGGTCCGTGGATCATTTTTTACTGGGCCGCAAAGAAGTGGGCGCCATCTTGTTTCGATGGTGCTCGAGAAAGTGCTTCTGGGTGAGCTTGTCGGTCGTCGGTTGGAAAGCGGCGTTTGGGTGCTGAAGGAATCCTTGCGCCTTAGTTTCGTTGGGGGGGGGGGCGGCTTTGAACGAAGAGCCGTCCCGATGGCGGTGGAGTCTCGCGTTACTCAGGAGATTAAGGAAGAGCCCCCAAAGCCCATCGACCGTGAGAAGGTACAAAGGAGTTGAAGGTGGCGGGGAGAAGCGAGGGACGGCTGGCTAGCCGGTCGTTTGGCTCGCCTTGCCTTGGTCGTGCACGTGCCGATGCCGGTACCGGTCCATGGATCATTTTGTACCGGGCCGCAAAGAATGAATAATCGTGAAACTGGTCCCTGGTACAAAAAAGGCTGGGGACCACTGCCCTAAATCATCTTTGTTGCTTCTTCTCTGCGCTCTTTCTAGAGTCTCAACCTCTTTTTTTTTAACATCCTGGCGACCAAAATTGGATGCTGTATTCCAGGTGTGGCCTTACCAAGGCCGTTATAAAGTAGTATGGACACTTCATACAATCTTGATTGTGTCCCTCTGTTGATGCTGCCTAGGACCGCATTGGCTTTCGGGGCAGCTGCAGCACAGGGCTGGCTCCGATTTAAACCCTTGTCCGTTGGGACTCCAAGATCCCTTCGACAGTTCCACCAAGTTTTACCTGGTCTGTACCTACAGGTTTTCCTTGCCTAAGAGTAAGACTTTCCTTTGATCTAAGTTGAATTTCATTTTGTTAGATAGGGACCAGTGTTCAAGTCTGTTGAGGTCCAACTGGACCTTCTTGGGTGTTGGCTCTTCCTGCCAGCTTAGTATCGTCTGCAAACTTGGTGAGTTCCCCTTCTATTCCCTCACCTAAGTTGTTAAGGAAGATATGGAAGAGTCCTGGGCCTAAGAGGGAACCTCGTGGCACCCCAACTGCTTCCTTCCCTCCAGGTGGATGTAGTTCCATCCTTGGCAATGTTATCACTTGTGGACTTCAACTCCCAGCATTCCCCCACCAGCTATTCTGGGAGCTGAAGTCCACAGATCTTGCAAAGGTTTGAACACCCCTGTTGTCAAGGGTGAGATTCAAACATCTCAGCAAACGGTTCGATCCCCAGTTGCTTGGGAGGATGTGGCCATGGTGGGTGTGTCCGAGAGGGCCGTTTTCCACCTTCCCCACAGTCCGGAGGCTTCCCTCGGGCCTCTGGGAGGGCGAGAACGGCCTCCCCCGGGCTCCGGAGACCCCCTGGAAGCCAGAAACAGGTCCATTTCCAGACTTCAGGTACTTCTGCAAGGCCCATTCTACCGCTTCCCAGAACCTCTGCGCAGACCCTGAACTTACCTGCATCGAAAATGGGCTGCGTGGAGACTCCGGGGTGTGTGTGTGTGTGTGTGTGTGTGAGCTGGTTGGTTCAAATACCGGTTGGGTGAACCAGATGCAAATTTAACATCCGGCTTTGTCCAAACCAGTCGAATCCCACCCCTGCCTGTTGTACAGTGAGATTAAGAGAGCAACTCCCAAGTTTTCTTTCAACTCAGCGACTAATGCAACTGTGAGTTGGGGGGGGGGGGGGGGGAAGCTTTGCCACACAGCCCTACGCGGGATCTACCCCCAACCCCCCCCCCAAGTCTTCCAGTAAACCTTAGGCATTCTGCTGACGAAGAGAAACCCCCCCCCCACCTGCAATGACTTTTCAAGCACCCCGGAATATTAAACACAGCTGATTTTTTTATTGATTTAAAAACGTGGCGTTATTTGGGTTCCTGACAGTCAAAACCACTGTAGTGTCAAGTTACCCAGAGGGGCCCCGAACCTCTGCACCAATTTTCATAATACAGATCTCGGGGGTTTTTTTGGGGGGGGTGGGGGGAACCAGGAGTTAAACCGCAAACCCGGGAAAGCCCCTTTCAGCAGGAGGAAGCGCTAAGGACGAATTCAACGGAGGAAACTACAGAAGGGGGAAAACCCAGTCGGGCGGGGGTGGCGGCGGGGGGGTTTGTCAACGACTGGAACCCGGTACCCTTCTCGACTCCCTCTTCAGAGGGGGAGCAGGAGGTTGAGGGAAGATTAAAACGGCGCGATCGGGGGTTTTTTTGTGTCTAGTTTTCAGAGGGAAATCCCGGAGGGAGCCTTGTGCACGCGGGAGTTTCTGAGGAGGGGGGGACCAGGCCCATGGTCAGCTACCTACAGAAGCCCCCCCTAGAGCCCCCAGCCCGGCTCCGACCCGCCACCTTCACAAGAAGGCATCGCACCACTCGCGCAGGCACCCGAAACAGTCTCTGGATTGTTTGGCGTTGGCTCCGCACGTGTCCTTCAGCCACTCGCGGAAGAGGTCTTCGTCCTTCTTCAGCACCAAGAACTGGCCCAGCACGACGTACGCCTGGGTTCAGAGGGAGGGGAGAGGAAAGAAAAGGGGAGGGTAGTCAGCCATGGGGATTTGGAAGCGGGGAGGGGGTCAGAGCGGAAGACGGGGGCGTCCACTTCAAGGCCCGTGGGGCTGCTGCCCTGGAAACGGTGAAGGACCGGCCTGCGGAGCCCAGGGCTGGGATGCAACTATTTTTACTACTGGTTCTGTGGGTGTGACTGGGTGGGCGTTGCTTTCTTTCTTTTTATTTTTGCAGCACCTCCACACACACTGGTTGTTGTTGTGTGTTTTTTTGCTCCTGGGCAAGCAGTAAGAGGGTGAGGAGGACCCCGGCACAGCTGATCGTCGGGAGGGGGAAAAAAAGGAAAAAAATACCTTGAGTGGTGACTGGGGTGGGGTCGAATGCACACAGCGACGTCGCCCATGCACGATAAGGACTGACTGGGGCACAGCCAGGGGCACAATATGCCGGCTCTCCAGACTACACAGAATCCTAACGACCGGTTCTATAGAACCGGTCTGAATGGGTAAAATGCCACCCCGGGCGGAGCCTCTGCAGAGGGTTGCAGGAGATTCCCCCGGCCCCACCTGGGCCACCCCAGGTGCCCCCGACAAGAGTGACATGGAGTTGGCTGTGCTCCCCCCTGGCCACCCCCCACCCCCCCACTTCAAACACAACCCTGATGAAATCGAGTTTGACACCCCTGGCATCAAACAAAGCCACGGGGAGGCCAAAGAGTCCTTGAATAGCAAGACGGGCAGCACCCAAATTGTAGCCGGTCAATAAATACACTGAATAAGTCAGTAAAAGTTCTGGTATCCCAGAACTGTAAAGCCCAACAGAGCAGCCTTATGGGTCCTCATTCTGCCTTAGGTAGGAAAGGTGGCGAGATGACTTTGGCGCCATCGCCAGGAGATGGCGAGTTCTAGTCCCAACATAGATGTGAAAGCCCGTTGGGTGACTGTGGGTTCAAGTCCCCTCTTGGTCATGCGCACCATTGGGTGACTTTCAGCCAATCACCAGGAGAGAGCGAGTTCTAGGAATCCCACCGTGAGCATGAAAGCTGGTTGGGTGACTGTGGGCCAATCACTTTGGAGTTCTAGTCCCGCTTTGCGCACCCCTTGGGCCCCCACCCTTTTTCCCAAGAGGCCCTCAAAACCTGGTTCTAGCCATGGTCTCCCGGAACCCCAAACGGAGAAGAGCCAATCAAGTGGCGGATTTGATTGCGCTGTTGCGGCCTTGTGGGTCAGGGGGATTTTTTTTTTTTTTAAAGAGGTCTTTATTATGCAGGGTTTTTTTTTTTTTAAATAAAGGTCGTAAGTGAATTTACCTATGTGGATTTACTAGCTCGATGCCTGTGCTTTGCTACGAAACTATGTGATCGGGCTTAGTTTTTTGGGAGGAAAAAATTCTGCCTCTGCCTACCAGCATCCATCGGTATTCCTCTGGCTAGCGTCCTGCCAGTGTGTGAGAGAGCTGAGGGCTGTTTGGAAACTGAAAGAGTATTTGCTGTGTGAGCAAGAAGGAGACAGCAAGGAGCCTGGGCGTGGCTTAGCTCAACTGTTCTGTACTAAAGCTGCTTGGTGCTGTGAAAGTAAAGGTGAAACTCCTCTCCTCTGCTTGTGTTTTGCGTTTGGAAGAGATTTCTTTTCAGGTGGGGAAGGGGAGTAGAGCTCCTTAGCATCAGAGCGCGTTAATAATAATAATATAGGAAATACTCTAAATGCTCTGATGGTCATTTCAAAAAATCCTTTCTTAGTGAGCACCTAGAAGCCAAGAGGAACCTACATGCCAAGTTTCAAGTTTGTAGGCTTTACAGTTCTGGAGGTTTTGTGATGATGCGTGAGCGGCATCTTTCTTTCTTTCTTTCTTTCTTTCTTTCTTTCTTTCTTTCTTTCTTTCTTTCTTTCTTTCTTTCTTTCTTTTTCTCTTTCTTTCTCTCTCCCTCCCTCTCTCTCACACTCACACACACATATAAAATAAATGCATTTACACTGGAAGTGGGGAGCTGGGGACCGGATGGGCAAGGCATTGACCGATCTCTTGTCTCTTGCTTTAGTTCTAGGTCTCTCCAGACTGGCTGGCTCTCCTGGTTGGGGCAAAATCCGTTCTCATCCTGGGACAGACCGTGGAAAAGCAAGGTTGCTTCCCCCAAAGTTACAGGGACCCCACTCAAATTTCCCAAGGGCACAAAATGGTTTATCCAAGAAATGGAAACCGCAACGGCCTGCCTCTCCCCATCTACGGACCCAGGTTTGGCTCTCGGATTCGGGGGCTCGAAGGATACCTTGTCAAACCCTTTGTCTTCCAGCCTCTTGCCAAGGACATCTCCAATCCCCGCTAACGTGCCAACCGGTTTCTCGCCCATCGGCTCAGCCACAAAGTCCCGGTGCTTCTGGCTGGTCGTCATGTCGGCTGCTGCCTTGCCCTGGCTGGGAAGCAAGAGATCAAGTGTCCGTCAGAAAACAGGAAGATTCTTGGCCTTTGTTTAGCGAAGAATAATATACTTTACTACAGCAGAAGTGGTTACAGCAGAAGCAAAGCTGAGTCTCAAATTTTCGTGGGCAAATGTTAAATTTTCCCTTCCCGACGGCCACGGGGTTATCAGTGACAGCCCAAGGAGGTTTTAACAAACAGTTTGAGTGACAGTCCCTCATTTGGAGGGCTGGCTGATACCGCATTGCTTCGGCACGTCCTTGGAACGCCGTCCCTTCTCACAGGACGGCACACTCTGGTTTCGATTCCTCCTGGTTCCCCCTCTGCCTCCTTCCCCCGTTACTAAAGTCAGGCTGTCAGCGTGCGGGGCATAGCTTTGGCCGACCGGCAGCCACGACATGACGTAAGACAGCATCTGGTGCTGGCTCAGGAACCGTCGGTGTTTGAAAATCCACAGGTTGTAAGGGGGTCGCAGCTGCCCACCCTGTTTTAATTCCTATTTTATGTCTAATCTCGGAAAGGGGAAAAAAAAGCTGGACTGGATGCAATTGTGCCGTGAGCAAGAGGGACAGGAACAGTTCAGGACAGACGAGGAGCATGTATCCGGTTTCCTCAAAAATATGACCTACTATGAAAGTAAGTCCTAGCTAGATTTTTACAACTGTCACCTAACAGTCGGGTTGGAAAATATATAAACCAGGACAGACATTTTAATACTGTCTCTTTAAGAGAATGCTAACATTGTAATTGGGTGTGGTTCCTCAAACGGCCGTAAGATGGAGCCAGAAACCTGGGCTGTTCCAGTTGCTAGCTGTCTTGTTCCGTCCTGTTGCTGAGAGTGTGTTCCTGCATTGCCCTATTGACTGTTACTGATCATCATTCTTCTTGGGTTTGATGTAAGTCTGTTACCGAACTGTTTTGGATACTGGACTTTGTAATTTGAATTATCCCTGGACTGAAAACTGACTGCTTTAACCGTGAATGACTTAGACTGTTTGTTGAACTTTGCTTAACGGTTTTACTGGAAGTAAAAACCTACATTATTACTATACAGTGTATCTGTGTGCTGGTTGTGTGTTATTCTTCACCACTCTCCCTACGTCTCCCTATGTGCACTCATTCTCCTAACGGGGAATTACCTCAACGTTGTGAGTTAATTTTGTGAGTTTGCTTGCTAGCAAATTTTATGTGATAGACTGAGCTAGCCGATGGCAGATAGGTAGATCTCTGAATGAATCTGTGATTCTGTGAGCAACTCAATCTGCCTGCCTGCTTTGCCTGATTTTGGGTAAAAGTTGCTTTTTATAAAAAAAAGTTCAATATTTATATAAATATTTATAATATTTACATACAAGCCACGCCCAGCCAGTCACATGACCACCAAGCCACACCCACAAATTAGGCTACGCCCATAGAACCAGTTAGCGGTCCCTGGGATTTAAAATTATGAGTTTGGTGGTCCCCGAGGTCCAAAAAGTTGGCAACCCCTGCTTTTCAGTCCTAAGCAGTTTCCAGAGTCAGCCTCTTGCCCCCAACAATCTGGGTCCTCATTTTACCCACCTCGGAAGGATGGAAGGCTGAGTCAACCTGGAGCCTGGTGAGATTTACCAAACTGAAGTGCCAAATTGCAGGCAGCCAGCAGTCAGCAGAAGTCTCCTGCAGTAGTGCATTCTAACCACTGCACTACTGGGACTCTTATAGTTATATTATAAGCCCTGTGGGTTGCAGTAGTGCATAGCCAGAACTTTAATTATGCGTATACTTTTATAATTATGTGCATAATTATATAATATGCAATATATATATAATTACAATTATGTGTACACTTTTGCTAATCCTCCATTAGCTGCCTGTCACCACTGCCTCCCCGCTCCGCCAATCAGGGTCAAGCAAGATGTTTTGAGAACTTCAAGCGGAGGTTGGTATGCAGCTTCTCCCAGCAGGTGACCTTGAAGCAGCATCTGGGGGTGGGTTGGGGGTGGTGGATACGGCAGTTACTCTCGCTTTCACCAAGCAGGTGTTACTTTCGCTTTCCTCCACAAACATCTCCCCCTCCCTCCTTCATGACAGACTGTCACTGCACAAGCAAGAGTGAGGTGGCAGCTGGCAGACTCACTTAATAACCTTGTTACTCACTTAACAACTGCAGTGATTCACTCAACAACCGTGGCAAGCAAGGTCGTAAAATGGGCAAAATTCACTTTAACAGCTGTCTCGCTTGGCAAGAGAAGTTTTGGACTCAACTGAGGTTGCAAGTCAAGGACTTCCTGCATTTCTTTTGGTTTTCAGCAAAACTACCCCGCTAGCTTTCATGACTATAGAGTTGCTTAACAACCGCTGCAAAACAAGGTCACAAAACCTGACCGATTGCTTGTTATGACATACAACTGTAATGGGAAGGCTCCATCATGGTTGTAGGTTGACAACTTTGCACAACTTTGATGGGAAGGGCAGAAAAGCCACAACCACGGGACAATCCTGAATCCAGCCATAGGGCTGGCGGGCAAGGCTGAAAAAAGGAAGCCCACAGAAAGGGGTCATAGTTGCCCATCCCAGCTCTCTGCTACCGTGGCTGAACATAATCACGGAAGCTTTGGATTAACTACAAAAGTGCAGCTTTGACTGGCGCAGGTTCCCTCACGGCCAAAGCAGGTAACGGGGCTGCAACCATTTATTCGCCCTGGGTTAACTTAAGGCAGCTTCTCTTGCAAGGATTCTTCCCTTCCATCTTTTGCAAGGAGGGTTTAGCAACCCTGTCACCTTAAAGAGCCTACCCAAGCACACGCACACACAGAAACACACTGCAGTTTTATAGATACACATATATTCACATACACATAATTATTATCACCCACATAATTATATATATAACTATCAATATACATATAATTATACTAATTATTTATATTATATGCAGTTATTATATGCACATACCCACAAATTATACAATCCCCCATATATCCGCATACTCATATTGTGTGTCTGTGTATATGTCTATGTGTGTGCGTATATATATATATGCACGCACACACATACACATATATAAAACATACATATACACACATTGCTAATTATATATAGTGCCATCCCTCTTTTTGTTCTCATATTGATAAGTCCTCATTTTCTTTGTCACTGTTTATTTTATTGCTCTTATTATTTTACTTGTTTAGTTTCCACCTTTCATTTCTTCCTTTCGATTGTTGTGAGCTGCCTGTAGCAGCCCCGGAGCAAGAAAGGAGGCAAATAAGTTTAGTCATTAAATAAATATAAGCAGAAACAGACATATGTATAAACATATATAGGGTTATTTTTATTTATATATATATATATGTGTGTGTGTGTGTGTGTGTGTGTGTGTGTGTGTATGTGTGTACATACATATATATATGTATGCGTATATGTGTGTGTATAAAATCATTAAATATAAGCATAGAGACATGTATAAACATATATAAGGTTTAAATGTTATATTATTTTTTCCTAAATTTTGTTCTAATGTACTTTACTAATTTATTTGATTCTTTTTGTTAGCTTTTATAGTTTTTTTTTTTTTTTGTTTTAAATACGGTTTTACATCGTGTAAGCCGCCTCGAGTCGCCATGGGCGAATAGGCGACAATATAAATTTAATAAATAAATAAATAAATGTTTGTGCGTATATAATATATAATCATTAAATATAAGCAGAGAAATGTGTATAAACATATATAAGGTTTCTAACATTATATACACACACACGCCAATATTCTAAAATATATTTTGCATAGAATTGCATACTAAAATCCTATATTGCCCTATAAAAATTACTTCTTATCTGGGGCCGTTTCAAAAGTCGGACGATTCCCCATAGAAACCCACCCCACCCCCGAGCACGTCGACGTTATTCCCCCCCTTCCTCGTTTAGTGACGAGCTCAGCCTCCCGCGCCCGGGGCCTGCCTGCTCCCCCCACTTCTCCCTCGACCTTTGACCCCGCGGCGGCGCCCCCGCCCCCCCAGCAGCCGCAACAGCCCCGCCGCCCCCTCCGGACTCTCACCCGCTAGCGCTTCAACCGTCGCTCCCGCGCAACCCGCAAGTCTGCTTCCGGGTCGCGGGAGCGGCGGCTTTAAGGCCCGCTGAAGCGCGCGATAGACCGCCGAGGACGAAGGGCGCTCTGGACTTCCGGCGGCCTCGCTTTTTCTCTACGGCCCTGCAGCCGTTCTAGGCGCCCGAAGGAGCCTCTATGGAGCCTGTCTTGTTTCTGCTCCAGGCGTGGTTGGGGGGGGGGGCAGCAGAAGGGAGGGGTTGTCTCAATTAAAATGATCTAAATGCAAAAGTCTAATCGGAAAGATGGGTGAAAAATGGTTTGCTTTTACCAATATTATTATTTATATTAAGGGGCGTGCATAAATGCACTATCGTGCCTCCCCCGTCCCTGTCCTATTGTCCCCATTTATTCGTACCTATTTTTCTGTATTCTTATTCATGTTTATACTTACACCTATTATTTTGTAAGCGATTGACCAATCAAATAAATCAATAAATAAAATAAATATAGATTCCCTATCAAGGCAGCTTTCAGATGGGTGGACTTCAACTCCCAGAATGCCCCAGCCACCTTAAAGTCGATGAGGAGGCGCTGCCCCTTTAAGGAGCTGACACGTGACAGCCTTCGGGCAGGAGGCGGCTTCTGCCCTTAGCTGATCACGTGGCTCCCACAAGACGGCCAATCGGAGCTCGGCGCTCTTCGCGGCTGCTGCTGCTGGGCCGCCCGGACGGGGCCGAAGGAGGGGCGGGTGAGTGGCGTCTCTTTTCTGGCCCCCCGACCCAAATGGCTGCCCCTTTGCTGGCTTTGCGCCAGGATTTCATTGCATTTGGGGAAGGGGGGAAATCTCCTCTCTCCAGTATTTATTTTCTTTCTTTCTTTCTTTCTTTCTTTCTTTCTTTCTTTCTTTCTTTCTTTCTTTCTTTCTTTCTTTCTTTCTTTCTTTCTCTTTCTTTCTTTCTTTCTTTCTTTCTTTCTTTCTTTCTTTCTTTCTTTCTTTCTTTCTTCCTTTCTTCCTTTCTTCCTTTCTTTCTTCTGGTCTGTTCTTACTGTACCCTGTGATTATTATTAAGTGTTGCACCTGATGATTCTTGATTCTTGACAGATGTATCTTTTCTTTTATGTACACTGAGAGCATTTGCACCAAAGACAGATTGCTTCCTCACACTTGGCCAATTAAGAATCCAATCCTATTCTATTCTATTCTATTCTATTCTATTCTATTCTATTCTATTCTATTCTATATTCTATTCTATTCTTCTATTTGATTCTATTCTATTTGATTCTATTCTATTTGATTCTCTATTCTATTCTACTACTCTACTATTCTATTTGATTCTATTCTATTCTTCTATTTGGTTCTCTATTCTATTCTTCTATTCTATTCTATTCTATTCTATTCTATTCTATTCTTCTATTTGATTCCCTATTCTATTCTATTCTATTCTATTCTATTCTATTCTATTCTATTCCTTCATTCCAATTTCTATTTTATTCTATACTCTACTAAAAAAAAACCTCCGGTGATGGAGCACCCGCAACTTCTGGTGGCCAGCAGTTCCACCGGTTAATTGTTCTAACTATCAGGAAGTTTCTCCTTAATTCCAGGTTGCTTCTCTCCTTGGTGAGTTTCCATCCGTTGCTTCTTGTTCTGCCTTCTGGCGCTTTGGAAACAAGATTAACTCCCCTCTTCTTTGGGGCAGCCCCTCAGATATTGGAGGAAGGCAATCATGTTCACACACACACACACACATCCTTTCCATTAGTCTAGACATGGCCAGTTCCTGCAACCATTCTCCATCGTATGTTTGAGCCTCCAGAGTCCCCTCATCATCCTGATTGCTCTTCTCTGCACCCTTTCCAGAGTCTGGACATCTTTTTTGCATTGTGGCGACCAAAACCGGACGCAGTGGTCTTAACCAAGGCATTTTTTTAAAGTGGTCTCCTGCCTCTGTTTTTGTGTGATAACTGCGGGGCTCCCCTTCTTCCTCCCAGGACCCGACGCCATGTCTGAACGGGAAGAACGCCGCTTTGTGGAGATCCCACGGGAGTCCGTCCGGCTGATGGCCGAAAGTGCGGGCGTGGAGCTGACTGACGAGGTGGCCGCTCTGCTGGCTGAAGACGTCTGCTACCGTCTTCGAGAAGCAACCCAGGTGAGGGCCGCAGTCGTAGAATACAGTAACTGGGTTGGAAGGGACCTTGGAGCTGTACAGGTAGTCCTTGATTTATGACCAGCTGCTTAATAAGACATAATAAGAAAACGGGGTGGCCATACAGATCTCCCTGAAAAACGGGCGGCTGATAAGACATCCCCGAAAATAAGACCTAATGGTTCTTTGGTCCAAAAACAATATAAGACCCAGTCTTATTTAGTATCCATGACTATCACTAAGTGTTGTATGTTTTATGATGAATGTATTTTTACAGTGACTATGATAATGATCTATCACTATTGTTGTATGTACACTGAGAGCTTATGCACCAGAGACAAATTCTTTGGGTGTCTAATCACAGTTGGCCAATAAAGAATTCTATCCTATCCTATCTTACCGTATTCTATATTCTATTCTATTCTATTCTCTATTCTATCTTCTGTTCTATTCTATTCTATTCTACATTCGATTCTCCTATTTTATTCTATATTCCATTCCATCTCTTCTCTTCTCTTCTCTTTTCTATTGCCCTATTGCTATTCCTAGTCGATATTATTCTATTCTACTAATGACCATTTGAATTTACAGCAGAAAACCTCCAAAAGTACTTATGCCCCAGTTCCAAGAGCCACCACTTGTCCCCCGCCATCCTATACCTGAATGTCTAGGGCTCCGCATCTGGCCTGCATTTCCACCATTTGTAGTCCTCAACTTACAACAGTTCACCGAGTGATCATTCAAAGTTACAGGAGCACTGGAAAAAGTGACCTTTTCACAGTTACAACCATTGCAGCATGGTCACATGATCAAAATTCAGACACTTGGCCACCGGCCACTGGCTCCTATTTGTGACGAGCAAAGTCGAAAGCCAGATTCCTTTAACAAACCATAACCAAAATTAATGACTGCAGGGATTACTTCACAATTGTAGAATGGAATGGAATGGAATGGAATGGAATGGAATGGAATGGAATGGAATAGAATAGAATAGAATAGAATAGAATAGAATAGAATAGAATAGA